TTCCTTCTCTCTTATCCTCGCCTCTTCCTCCCTCCACTCTTTCTGCATCCGCCTCAGTCTGCGTTCATGCTTCGTCTGCCTTTCTTCCCGAAGTTTGGATATAGGTCCCTCGGTAGGAGCCTGTGCTCGCGTTTTTGAAATCCCGGTGAGCGGGAGAGCGAGGTTCACGCGAGCAGCGAAATCAGACATACGTTCCCCGGGGAGGATCTTGGGGATCTTGTCCGTGCTCGTGGCGGCGGTATCTTGTGTTGCGCGTTTAGAAGTGGCGGTGTTGCTGGAATCCGCGCCCTTGCCCTCTTCATCCCCCCGTTTCCTCTTCTTCGCTGATTTCTTGGGGAGCCCGTCATCCAGACCCGATGGCATGCGTCCTCCAGATTGCTGCAGTCGCATTAACCGTGCGAAGGCGCGGGGGGTGTCATCTTCCGCATTAGCTTTTGATTTCCGTTTCGGTTTCCGGGCTGTATCCGGTTGCTTCTGCTGTGATCCATTGTTTTTGGGAGCTGGTTTTTTAGGGTCTCGGGCTGGTAGAGGTTTTGCGATGGTGGTTGGCGGGAGATCGAAGGTGCTATTTATGAGTTAGAATGGTAGTCAACAGGAATTGGGGGTTACTGCGTACGAGTCATCCTTCTGTCGCCTCTTGTGTTTGTGCGGCATGTATGCGACTGGAATTTGTCTGTCTTTACTGCTCCTGCTTCTTCTCTGAGCTCGAATTAATTATTTTTTGACTGCAGAATAGAAATAATGGTCACGTGTGAGATGATTGTTGCCAAGATTTCACGCCAAGAGATATTATCACGGATAAACCTCGGACCGGGTTCTTATCGATTATCCACGGATGCATATGGTCGGCATGACTAAGCTAGGGTAATCAGCCACTCAGGGCGCATGATTTGCACACGGTTCATTGTTATCTGATCATCGTGAGAGAACAAAGCGTGAGAGAGAAGGGTTCTCGACTCTCTTCACCGCGAAACTACTGCAAGTTACGGTGGCAAGGAGGGCATGGGAGTTCCTGCGGGAATCGCATCAACTGATAGTCGTGCCTTCTCGCAGGAAAGTCGTCCTCAACCAATCGACTGACCCAGTGCGTTCCAAGGAAGCGACCACCTCGCTGTCCCCAGTTAACCCCCCCTTAAGTCCTTGGCCAGTATGCGCTCTTTTTGAAGGCACGGAGTATCTGACCCCACGATAAAAGGCAGGTAGTAACTCTGGTTCTTGGGGATCATCTGGGTGGGTTCGGTTCACCGTCGACCATCACCCGGAAGACGGCAGACAAAATGTCGCTATATAGAAATGACGCCCTGGTCTTCTTTCTGTTTCTTAAATAACTCATCATGATTCTCCCTTCACCATGAAACTTGCCGGCAAGGACGCCATCGGCCAGAGGAACGTAGAGAAGCAGAGAGAAGTATAAGCAAGATCTGGTATCCCTTCATCTCCTCCCTGCATATTACCACCCCTTGCTGTCAGGTATAAGAAAGGACAGCGGTGCCTTGAAGGCCTCTCTTTCTGTATCTACACACCTCTCACCAAAGGCTGCAAGATGTGGGTGTTTTCGTCCTTCTGGCGATCTCGTCAGAAGAAAGCGATGCGACAAACTGGTGGCAGTGAGGGAAATATCGACGACCCTTATCGAGACACTTCACGTGATCCGTCTCTCTCGAACGACAACCTCCCTTCCAGATACACCGACATCGAGAGCGGAAGATGTTTACACTACCGCGATAATAGCGTCGACAGCAGCAGCAGCGTCAACGGTAACAGCAGCGGAAACATCCCGATTCTAGCTAGGAACGATCGCCATTCAGCCCTCAAGCCCATTGTCACGAGTTACTGGGTGGAAAGCGATCCCAGCCCCGTTCTTCCTCCCTCTCGTCCCCGGTGGACGAGGTTCCTCCCCTGTTTTCCAATCGCCCGCGCAGAGACCGGCCCTATTCTCAGCCCCGATTCACCTACTCCTTCGGATCGAACTTGTGCGGCTTACTTCCGAAAGGCTAAGAAATCCCCTGTTTTCCGCTGGATCGTCTTCTTGATCTTCTTATTCTTCGTCACGCTGTTAGTTGTCTTGATTTTGATATATACACCTCTTTACATCTGGACATAAGCTAATAAATATATAGGGGGCTCTTACAATTTGCCACCCTTATATTCGGGGTCGTCGCGGCCTTTTTCCCGGATGATGTCGAGCGCGTGGCCGCCTTCTGGAGAGGGGGTGAAGTGACCGAACGTCTATCGCAATGGCCGACAGAGTACACCCGCGACATCAAGCCAGCCAGGTGTCACTCTCATAATGACTACTGGCGTTTGGTGCCCCTTTATTCTGCCCTCCACGCTGGCTGCATTAGTGTCGAGGCAGACGTCTGGATGTTTGACGGAGAACTATTCGTCGGGCATTCGCTCTGGTCATTGAATCATCAGAGAACCCTCCGAACTCTATATGTCGACCCCCTGGTAAAAATCTTGGATAGTCAGAACCAAGTATCTGAATTCAGCCCCGAGAAAGATCAGCCCTTGCACGGGGTCTTTGACACCGAACCATCTCAGCAACTCGTCCTGCTGGTCGACTTCAAAAATGATGGGGCCGCCATCTGGCCACACCTTGTGTCCCAATTAGCTCCACTACGCGACCGTGGTTATCTCACATATTTCAACGGTACCGATGTGGTTCCAGGGCCGTTGATCGTCGTGGGAACGGGTAATGCGCCTTTCGACCTTCTCACGGCCAATTCGACATATCGGGACATCTTCTTCGATGCACCTCTAGATGAACTGGATGGAAGTGACTCCCAGCAGGATACCAAACACACCACACGTGATCCCATGCCAATTGATGGGTCCATTTCCGGTATGTCGACCGAACGAGCCTTGGTGCAGAACCAACGCGATTTCGGGAATGAGACTGCAACTTCCGATACCACCGAACCATACAACGCCCAAAACAGCTACTTCGCATCCGTGTCCTTTTCGAAAACCATCGGCTCGCTCTGGGATTTCCGCTTCTCCGAAGAACAACTGAACACCGTCCGTACCCAGATCCGCAATGCACACGAACGCGGCCTTCAGGTCCGATATTGGAACCTCCCATCCTGGCCTCGGCTACTGAGGAATCATGTTTGGACTGTGCTGGTTCGCGAAGGGGTAGATCTCCTCAATGCGGATGACTTGAAAGGAGCCACGATGGAAGATTGGGTCGATAATACGGGGATATGGAAAGGCTGGCTCTGGTGGTGAGGGTGATGACGGTGACAATGCTTCATTTCTGGGAACAAAAAAACGATTTTCTTTCGCCGCGTTTATTTCCTTTCTTCTTCGACTTATATATACCACTTAACGCAATAGACTACGAAATAGATACCTCGGGATTCGGGCAGAGGTTACTGGCAATCGGGCTTATAGATATCAATTAAACGAAAATGATATTAACGGATTTCAAAGAAAAGATTCGTAACATTTCATAATTATATATCTATATCTAGAAACACATATAAACTCCAACCCATATATGCAATACATAAGAGTTATCTCAAACAAGCCAATGCCTCCTCCCCAAACTCCCTCGCCACGGTCCCTTCTTCCCTCAACATACCCCCTAACCAATCCCTAGCAGATTCAAAATCTTTGGCTCCAAACTTAACCAAGACAAATGACGAGCGTACATGGGCCGCTGTCCACGTTACATCTTGGTCTCCTCTCCGATTCTGCTTCTCTTTGGATGGGGGCTCTTTTCCCACTGTTTTGTTGGAAGATTTCGGAGAAGACCAATCTCTTCCTCCAATGCGTGGTTGGGAGGTAAATTCCTTCATGAAGAATGAACCTACTGGTTCGAAGATAGGTCCGTGTAGGATAAATGTACCAACTATCCCATGGGGAGAGGTTTGGTTGCGGATACTAGTCGATGGCTCGGTCTCCTCTTTCTCTGAGGATGTTGTGGTATCCCTTCTTCTCCTCGTCCCATCATCCAATATAACCGAATCACGTAGTAGGAGACGCCTCTTCCCGTCCCTACTCTTAGTCCAGACTTCATTCTTACCTTTCCAAAGATGAAAGTCCCAGTCCTCACCGCAAGCAGCACGTCCCTGCGTCACCCAGTCCAGAATGCAGACACTACTTTTAGACGACGAGCCCCCACCACCACTCGCATCCCGCCCACCCTTCAACACCGCCTCATCAACCGTAAACACCTGAACCTGCTCATACGCACTATCCCTATACGGCACCGACGGATCAGGCAGATAACACAGCGCAGCGCCCTTCTCAACATTCACGTCCAGTATCTGGCGACTCGGCTCATCGCCCGACCCCCTAACTACCAACCCTCCATTCGCCCCACGACCACCTATCCCCTCCACACCACCGGGATTCGTCTTATATATCTTCGTACTCCCCTGCGGCGTTGTAATCACCAACCTCGTTCTCGGACGCAGCGCTATCTTTACATCTATCCGATCGCCCGGCAGTAGACCCCCTCCGTAGGTAAGTAGGTATAAATGTACCGGCGTCACCGCAGCCACCCCGGCCTTAGTTTCATCGGGATCGAAGTCCTTCGCCTTGCGGGTCATGAGTTTGAGAGGGTACTGGAAGGTGAGGGTTGAGAGGGTGGGCGTTGAAGGGGGGAGAAGGGAGAGGACGACATTTCCGTATCCGGGAGCGGCGAGGGACGAGGAGAAGGGGGATTTGGGGACTGTTCGGGAGGAAAGGGCCATGGTGATGAGGGTCTCCGAGCTCGGCGGGTTCTTCGAGGAGGAGGGTAGTGAGGAGTAGCTCGATTACATTGTAAGATGGAGGAGTGTGTGGTCGGGAGATGATCAATTGAGTGCAATTGAGCTGAGGGGAGGTGTCTAATCTGTGAGAGAGTGTAGTAGAGCCATAGTAAGAGCTTGGAAGGGAAGGGAGCAATGACGAAGGAGACGATAGAGATAAGCTCCAAAACTAGGGCTTAGGGTTCTTATCACCAGGTGCCTTATCAGCCCGGAAGCAAAAAGAAGGAAAAAAAAAGAAAGGGCTCGAGCCGTGGATCGAACACGGGACCTCGCGCAGTTATGCTAAGGGTTAACCCTAAGCGCGAATCATACCACTAGACCACCCGAGCTGTTGATATATTTTCTTTTCCAAAAGAAAAAGTTTTCTTACGGGCGGCCTTCGCTTGGCAGCTCAACTTGCTGATACAAATCGTTACTCAAGGTAATTCATGCTCAAATACCTTTACAAAGTGTCAGAAAAACTCTGTAAGAGGTAGAAGGTTAATCAATGGAGAAATACCATGGCCAATTAACATCTCAAACTCCTCTATTATCTCTGAGCATGGTAGAAACGTAGAAACCCCTTCAGAGGGTTGACACGGAATCGTTGTTTACAGGCAGCAGGTCGTATCGATACGGATACGGCCTTTGTCACAGTCACATGGCTGACTAACCCCTCCACCAGTCTGATGCAGGCGCAAAAGTCGCGTTGGGAAAGAAACAGAGAGGGCGCGAAGTATCATTTTTAAGGGTTAACCACCATCACCACTCACCACCAGCTCACTTTCAGGCCTTCTCAGACTCTACAACTCCGATAGGACAACAATATCAATTCCAAATTCATCAACACGAGGAATTGCGCCACAGAACACGCGACTGGGACGAATTTCCGATACAACACTGAGCGACACTGAGCGACGACTGTTCCAACCATGGAAGTGTCACCTCGCCGAGACGGACAATCGTCGAGCCCTCTCTCAGAGCCTGAGGATAACGCATCCTCACCCGCAGCGGAGAATAGACGGAAATCAGGTCGTGCGACGCGAAAACCGGAACTCTTTTCGCAGGTGTCCGCCGACAATAACAACACCGCTAACAGCGGAAGGTCGAAACGGAAGCGCGCCGCGGGCCAGGACGCAGATAATGAGGATGAAGACGAGAATGAGGACGAGGTAGACGAAGACGAAGAAGACGCGTCAGACTCCGACGAAAGTGACGGTGAAGCCGATGAGGAAGAGCTGAAAGAAAAGCGGAAGAAGTCTCGAAGGACCTCGAGCCAGAAGAAGAAGAAGCCCAATGCGAAACCGAAGGCGAAGCCGGCGGGGTCTCGGGCTGCGAAGAAACCGAAGATGACCAATGGGTTTGGGACAGAACTGGCGATCAGACCGGCTGTTAATGGGAAGAAGACCGCTTCAAAGTCGAAGAAAGCGCGGGCGAGGCCGGGGCAGATTGTGGTGCAGGAGGATGGGCTGTTTGGTGGGGATATCTTCTTGCTCATAATAACTGGAGCGATGCTAATATACTATCTACAGCTGAGGTCTTTTCACGAGGCCATACCACCGAAGCCGCTGCAGCGGAGTGGCTCATGCAATATGAACGCGACAACATCAATGCCATGTGCGATCTGATCAACTTTGTCCTCAGATGCACTGGAACAGATTTAAAAATCGAAGGAGCCGATATCCATGACGTTGACAATGTAGCCAGCAAAATCAACGACCTCCAGGAGGAATACCAAGAACAGGGAATGACCGAATACCCCCTTATATCCAGAGCGAGGCAATACAGGTCATTCCAATCTATCCTGGAAGGCTTTTTCGAGGCCTTGGTCAGCACTATCCACAGCTCCTCTGTGCTTTACAACGAGCCCGCGCTCATCGAGAATATCCAAATATGGATAACTTCAATGTCATCCGCTCCGATCAGGCCATTCAGACACACGGCTACCATTATCTCGCTTACGATCACGACTACATTGTGTAATGTTGCGACGGAAGTGACATCCGGAGTCTCGAATTCGCGCAAACAGCTAGAAGGGGAGAAAAAGAAGAAGACCGTGAATAAAGGCAGGATGGGCGCAATGCAAACCAAGGTCCAAGAAGGAGAGAAAAGGTTGGAAACAATCGATGAAGTTCTTCGGGATTCCTTCGATACAGTTTTCGTCCATCGCTACAGAGACGTTGACCCTAAGATCCGTGCTGAGTGTATGCTAGCGTTAGGCCGGTGGATCACAACGTACAGAGAAATGTTCTTCGAGGGGCAGTACCTACGATATCTCGGTTGGGTGCTTTCCGACACGGTTGCTCATACCAGAGCTGTGGTCGTGGCACAATTGCATAAATTGTTCGAAAATAAGGATAATATCGTCGGTCTGCGGGCCTTCACAGACCGTTTCCGTCCACGGATCGTTGAGATGGCGACAAGAGACGCGGAACCAAGCGTTCGCGCGGCTACCGTCGAGCTGCTAGATCTGGTGCGGGATGCAGAACTGCTTGAACCGGAAGATATTGACACCGTTGGCCGTCTTGTATTTGATACCGAGCCACGCGTTCGTAAGGCTGCCGGAGGCTTCTTCGTCGCAAATATCCAGGACGTTTATGAATCTGCCACCGAGAGCTTAGGCGAAGATTGGACCGACACATTCCTGGAAGAAGACGAAGCTAATTTCATAGCTCCACGAAGTTCCTGGATCAAGTTCAAGTGCCTAGTTGATGTCCTCCAAGCCTATGATGACCAAGAAACGGAAATAAGATCGGAACAGCCACCACAAGCATCTAGAGAGGCATTTATCTCGGCTGATTTAGACTCGAGGTTCGTGCGGGCCACAGAGTCTATATACCCCCATCTCGAGGAACTTGAACAATGGGAAGCCCTTGCTGGCTATCTCCTTCACGATCACTCTCAGATTGAGGAGTCGCCTGCCCAGGATGATACTGGCGGGCTCGTGAAGAATATGTACAAATTGAACGAAGGCCAAGAAGTGATCCTCCTTGAAGTTCTTGGAAGCGCCGTTAAACTCCGCATTCTTCAAGTCGCAAGGTCTGAAACCGACAGGCGGGGAAAGAAGACGAAGGCTACGGTTGAACAGGCACAGGAAGAGCAGGAAGAAATTGCCCATACTCTCGCGCAAATAATCCCACAGCTTCTCAACAAGTTCGGTGCCCTACCAGAAGCCGCATCTGTAGTCCTGAGACTGGAGCATCTTGTTAATCTCGAGATGATCCAAGATCTGCAAAAGGATGTGACAATCTACTCCGATTTGCTAGGTGATATCAACAAGCAGTTTCTCACGCACTCACATCAGGAAGTCCTTGCAGAAGCAACGGTTGCCTTCCTCCACGCTAGAACTTCTGATGAACTCAAGGAAGCGATGGAAAGCAAGATTCAAGAACTATGGGACGATACTCTTGACACTCTCAGGAACCTCTCTCAGGACAAGGCTATTGAAGGAGGCACAGCCATGTCTGTGAACGTGCTCACAGAGCTATCAAATACCGTGATGAGAATCTCCAATCTCGCCAGTATAGCTGATTGCACTTCCATCCTGGACGCCGTTCCCACCGCCTCTAAAAAGCAAAAGAGCCGTGCTGAAGCACCAGTAGACATCCTACTCAAGGTTGTAAAACGCGGCCTTCGCGATAATGAGGAGTCAGACGAAGAAACTGATATGTTGGAGCGCGAGCTTGTAATAAGCGGCTTTAGAGTGTTGCTTTTCTACTTCATGTGGAAGGTACAACTGCTCACGTCTAGCCCAACCGGCCCTTCCTCATTCGACTCTAGTGACTTTGACTCCTTAACGAGTCGCCGTGACGACTTCGTTTCAACACTTACCTCGATCATGCAACACCGCTCGGGGCTCGACGACATCCGTTTCGCATCCACCATTACCCTTCTCGACCTCCAGACCGTCTTCGGAACCCTGCGCCATGTTGGCTCGCCAGCACCAAACGTTGCAAACGGTGAAGATGAAGACAACGACGACGAGCCAGCCGAACAAGCCCGAGCTCTAGTCCAAGAAATCTCTCCAGATACCCACATCCTCATCAGCCGTATCCACGACTCCGCGGAACGTGCCTTCGCAAAGAAATCCCGCCGAACCCTAGATATCGCCGAAGACGCCGACGTTCTCGACTCCGAATCCGAACTTTCCGAACCCCCCTCCGACGACGATGAAGCCATGGACGACGAGGACCTAAACGGGAACACCGCCGCAGCCAAACGCGCACGGGCAACCCTCCTCGCAGAACAAAAACTCTGCGAACTGACAGGCAAAATCGTCCTAGCCATTATCGGCCGTGTACTCGACGCATCGGGGCCTCAGCGCGGTAAACTCCGACAGAAGCTTGCTCGGAACAAGACCCGCCTGGGGCCGAGTTACAAAGAAGTCATCTCCTATCTAGACTCTCGAAAAGAAGGCGGTGGGCGAAAGCGACCCGCCGCGAAGAAGGACGTCGCCACCAACAACACTGGGAAGGAAAAATCAACTGTCCGGGTCCAAGATAGCGATGACGAAGATAATGACGACCACAACGAGGATAACGAACGCGAGGAAGACGACGACGAAGATCTTCGGGCTAGGGAACTAGTTGAAGAAGGCAACAACAATGGCGATGATGGTAATGACGACGACGATGCAGTCGCACGAGAAGGCACTGCAGCCGCCAACGAGAGCGAAGACGAAGTCATGGGTGACTGATTCTCTTCGATTCTCTTCTCTTTTCCATTTAATGACTTTGTTATCTATCTACTTTGCGTCGGAGGGGTTGAAGGAATGAATTGGGTTTTACGTCGGCCGGGGTGGTGGGCTTGCTTACTTGCGATGCGCGTTATCTATTTCGCTATGTATGTGTGAGAAGAAAATTTCCCAATCTATTTCATTTCCTTTTTTCTATTTCTACTATGTTTGGGCCCGGGGCCGGAGCGGAATAGTGATGTGGACTTGGGTTACTTACGCCCACAGTCTTCCTCATCGCTGGCTGTTCTCTGCAAAGAGAGCTTCTTTCTGCGTTTTTCTACGTTGCAATCTTCTCTCTTGACGTTTGTTTATAAATTATATCCCCTTTCGATAGGTTAATCTATACATGGTCATTTCAACTCTTCTCTTAGTCGATACGTTTGATGGAGTAAAATGTGAAGACTAGAAGCACGCCCACCCGATTCACCACCACCTGGTCCCTGATACAATCACTTAGAGCCACTATGATATGCTTTGGAGATATTTTAATTTTTCTTTTCTTTTGTTGAACTAAGCCTGGCGTCGACATACAAACTGTTAGGGAATCGAATCAAACATAGGAGATATTCAGGAATGGGGACTAGGGGTGTGGGTGTGGGTGATGCGCATGGGCTC